CCGCCAGAGCGATATGGGGCCCCCTCTCCGCGCAGCTTTAAGCCGCTGGGGCCCGATGTTCGGGGGCCCCCCGCGTGGCTCTCTTTCTGAGAGTCTAGCCGGCTCTGCCAAAGCCTGACCACCTCCTCCACCTCAACATTGCTGACGTAGCCCTTCCTGCAGTGCTCCACCAGAAACTTGGCCAGCCGGACCACATGCTGGTAGCCAGGCACTCCTCTGGGGTCAACACAGCTCTGGAACACAAACAAAATGAGCACATCAGTCCATCACTTCTTCAACATGCCATCAGACCAACATGAAGAAGTAGCTTCTCTTAAACATTACTAACCCCAGAGCTGCTGCCTGGCTCCTCCTGGCCACCAGGGCAGGCTGGCTGGGCAGGGAGAGCGGGCTGCTGAAACGGCTCCTCCTCAGGGTTGAAGGCCATCAGCAGCTCATGTCCTATGTCCCCCTCCTCCTCGTGCTCTAAGGTAGAGTTGACCTTCGCCCTCAGCTCTTCGATACGGCTGAAGGTGTCCCTGGCGTAGGCGGAGAGCAGCCAGCTGCTGCCAGGGACAGGCTCCATCTGGGGCGGGGGTGGAGAGCAGCCAGCTGCACCACGGGGACCTCGAACACGGAGCACACACTGAGGTAGTGGTGGCAGCGCCTCAACCACTCCTCCGTGTGCTGTTTCATCTGGGCCAGCACCTTCCTGTCCACGGCCAGTCTGCTGCACAGAGACAGGTTCACAGGTCAACAGCACACCCTTCACTTGGCTGATTTAAAGCATAGAACTGTGAGCAGCACTGCAATGTAGTACTGCATGTTTGTTGCTGAGACTGATTGATGTGTGGAAGGCCCTATTTGAGAACACAGGACTGTGATTGCTGATGTACAGTTTTGCATTTAAGTTGAAATAGGCTCATGTTTGTGACTATAACTCAAAACACTCTGTCTGCAGGACTATAATCTTTTACTGAAGTGTGTTGTTTTTATTTTATTTTAATTGTATTTATAGTATACTTTTGTTTTGTTTATTTGATTGTCTTGTTTATTTACATGCTGCCTCCTTTGGTTTGCTTTTGATGTTCTCAGTTGTTATGTGCTGTATTGTGTAAATTCTGAATATGTGTGGGGCCCTGCTGGAGCTAATGGGGATCCTAATAAACTAAATTAAACCAATGTTTACCTGTATGTCATGACAGCGGGGAAGAGGTTCTGGTGGTCCAGCTCCAGCTGGTCCCTCACGCACCTGTCCCATCCAGACACCTTCTTCTTGCAGTACCTGAGGGACAACAGTTACACATGATTTACCTTAGTGTTGGTGTTCTGCTTCATACAACACCAACAAACATTCTGATCCTACTCGTCATTACCTGCACTCCAGGTACTCCGTCGCCATGAAGTACCAACCAAAAGACAAAAGCTTCTTATCTTTTAATGTCGAGTGTTTTAGAATAGTGTCCGCTCTCTCTCAGTGGAGATAACGGACTGACAGCCTCCGTTCACGGAGAGTTGAACGGCGAAGGAAAAAGTGAGAGAGCCAATCAGAGGGGTCGTGTAAGTGAGAAGGGCCAATCACACCGTACATCTCTAAGTGAGATGGGCCAATCAGAGAAAGAACACCGAGAGGCTAAGTGAGACCCGAAGATGGCTCTCCTCTGGGCGCAAGGATGACACGCAAATTCGTGAAGAGTTCCTTTTTTTATCATAGAATAAATTATTTTTCATAATTTTTCACAATTGTGACAGTGATTTGGTGAAACGAAGCTGCTGTGGGGTAGGGGTAGGGTCACCCGGTAGGGTTAGGGTTATGGCGCTGTTAGGGTAAAAGAAGGAACGCTTCACGAATTTGCGTGTCATCCTTGCGCAGGGGCCATGCTAATCTTCTCTGTATCGTTCCAATTTTAATATATGTGTTAGAGAACTAACACAATAACTTCCAAAACCCCGACTGACTATATAGGTCTATGTCTCATGACCCCTTTGACTCATGGTGTGGGTCCTAACGTCTCTAGAATCTCTTTAACTGCTCATTATGAACCCAGGAAAACACTAGAGAGATGCCTGGGTGCTGGACTTTGAGTTGTGTACCTGTGACCCAATGTGACCCGCTGGTGTTTAACCTGAGGTGGTTCTTTTGGACATCATCAGAGTTACAGGGGCATGCTGGGACATTTATGCAGATTAGGCCTACATCACACGATGGGGATTGGATGGCAGTGGGAGCGTGAACAAAAGGCTGACTAGGCCCTCCAGGACACACTCTGGCCCCTGTGGGGGATGGTTGGGGTCAGAGTGTGTTTGTAGAGAGACACTGTGGGATATTAGGGAGTGGGTACAGAGAGAGAGAGAGAGAGAGAGAGAGAGAGAGAGAGAGACATGAGATACAGAGCCAGTTTGGTCTGGTTTGGCTTACGTCATTCCTCAAAGCCGGAAGTGGCGAAAAAGACTCTCGCAGCCAGAGAGAACCTGCTGCGATCCTGGATCCTGCTTAAAAAACAGAAAACAGAACACAACAGGAACCAGGAAGACTCTTCTAAACCTCAACCAGGACCTGGGTTCACTTTAAACCCTGCCATGTGGATTAAAAGAACCTGCAAACGTGTCTTTTTGGTCTGCTGCTAAATGCCTGTGAAACAACAGAGGATTTGGACTGAATCAAAGAATATTGTTTTGTTATTTTGGTCTGTTTGCTGCTTCTGAAAGTTTAACATCTGTATCTGATTATATGTGGGTTCAAATCTGCCATTAATGCCATTATTTTGTGTTAATACTGTTGGTTAGAAGCAGGAAGAGAAAAAAACATAAAACATCAAAATAGTACATGCAGTTCCACCAAACAGCCACTGGGTGTCGCTGTCTGATCAATCATCAGAGGGGGGATTCTTGGACGCTGCTGTAGTGCCCCACGCCTGATAGATAGAAAAGCAAAAAGGCACAGTAAATACAGAGAACACAAACAAGAAGCCTACTAAATAAACTCATAACCTGCTACAGACTGCTGTTTCTCCTCCTGTCCAATGAGTCTGTCTAAATCTTATTTACAGCTGAAACTCACAGATCAAAGTCACACATTGTGCTGAATACATGTCCTCATTCTGATGAAGATGATACACTTTCACTAGAATCTATTATTAAAAAATGAAGCAATGAAATATCTTTGGTTTCATTCCACTTTTCTCAGTGTGAATTTTTAAAGGTTATGGTTGATTTAAATGGTTCAGATGAAAGGTAAAAAGTTGATAACCGAACGGAGCACCGGAGAGGAAACAAATAAAAAGCTTTCTTTCCATCAGTGAACATGGAAACTGAGACGCTCCTCGGTGCCTTCATCTTGACCCCAGCCCGAGTCTCTACTCAGGTTCTCATAAAGGCTTTGACTCCCCAGCTTGCTGTCCTGTAGCCGTTAAGTTGTGAACGAACAAACATGAAGTCTGACAAACGCAGCATCAGGATCACCTGGCTCACAGAGGCCTCAGCATAAAGTGGAGTATGGCGCCCTCTGCAGGATCAGTGCAGAGCCTCAGCGCTCATCAGGAATCCGTCTGTTCTTCATTAAACACACACTGAAGGTCTCTGTTAGCATATATGAGAAGTTTAATTTTAGTTTCAAAAAATAGTCTGTGGGAGGAGTCTTAATGTGTCTCAGTTTCATGACAGAGGTTTTATGAGAAGGTGCATGGGTCTGTAAACCTTTCTGTGTTCTAACCTCTCTCCATTTTTCAAAAGCATCTCCAATATTGATCCTAGTTTGAGCACGTTTCTGCTCGTGGAGCTTATTAGAAACATGCAGAGGCTTTTTAGGTCGGGTACAATCACTTCTATCCAAGCAGCAACCTCCAGTGTTGAAAAATGAAGCCAGTGTGGAAGTGTAAAATCATGCAGTTCATCGAGTGTCTGCTTGAGTTTGGCTGCAGAAGCACAGGAAGTCACATACACATGACTGGCAAAAAAAGGACTGTTTTCACAGCATAAATTAACATGTCTACACCCTGCTACAGAAAACCAAATAGATCTGATTAGTTATTGTCATCACTGGCACACACTGTCCGGGTGGTGAATTCTTTTTAAACGATAAGATGCCTTCAGGTGCTGCTCGGGTGGTCCGACTTTCCGAGTTGGGAAGTCGTTCTTCCGACTTCAGTGTGTTCATGTGATTTCAGTTCAGAAAGTCGGAATGTTGTAAGAGCAAAAAAACAGAAGAAGATCTGTGAAATGTAACTGTTATATTTGGGCAAAAAGTTAATGTGCAATAGCCTACGTGAATTAATACAAATTTGTTAACATTAACAGAACATATTGTGCCCCTCAGGTGATCACGATTCTGACGTCAAGTCGGTGAATCGGACACCTAATTCTTGTCCCAGTTTCTGAGTTGCTGTTCCGACTTGAGCAGGTGTTCATGTCCATTTTCCGATGTGTCCGACACCACATGAATGCACCATTAGACACATGATTGACAGGTGTGCTCGATGTAACAGTTTGTCAGGAGGTTTAAAACCCGCCTCAGCTCCAGCTCTCAGTCTGTCGTTAGGTTGACTGAAAGTTAGACTGAGGCAGCATTTCCAACATCGCGGCTGCAGCTGATGAGCCTCCAGAGCCCCCCTGCAGGAACAGACGGGTAACGTCACTCAGGCTTCAAACATTCATATTTACAGTCTGTAAGGTTCTATCTGAACCACTTCTCTCGCCCGCTTCCATCACTGCAACACCTGTTGACCTGATAACTGCTCTCATATCTGGCAAACTGAGGGGCGTCCAAAACGGCCGTGTGGGGGGTTCCTTAAAACTGCCTACCTTCTCTGGTCCAAACAAATCCAGAGCATTCAGGAGCAGAATCTAAAGTTAGAAGGAGGACATACTGGCTGCTGCATTGTTGTCAGAGAAGCCAGCACTTCAACATGTTTCCTTAATGATCAGATAGTAAGATACCTTTATCATCTCACTCTCTACACAGCTCACTGATTGGACCTTTAAGAGACCTTAACTGAAATGAAGGAAACAAAAAGTCAGTGGTATTAGTTTTACATCCAGAGAACATTTTATTAATTGTCTTTTTAAAAACAAAACAAATCTTTCCTTTTTTTTTAAAGCACTGGCGACACATACGCCTTTAAGAGCTCGGCTTCCTGTTCGGATCTGAGAGCATTATGGGAAAAGAGAGAGAGAGAGAGAGAGACAAACAGCAGAAAGATGATCATTCCCTTCTAAAGCCTGACGTCACCGGACTTCATTATTAAGAGTGAAACTTTATGTGAAACAGTGAAGGACAGAAAAAGAACAGAAGTAAACATGGAGGTATACAAAATACTTCACAAATACAGAGTGGCGTTCATGGAACAACAAGAAAATATAAATACAGTGTCTTGTTCTCTCTTGGTGTGTTTCTCCCTCAATAGCTTGACGAGGCTCTCAAAACCGACAGGACGACGATGGAGGAGGAGGATGATGATGATGACGTGTGGCATATTCTGCCTTTTGGCTGGTTTGTTTTATTGATTTATGATGAAATTACAAGAAAGGTTGTGTGGGGAAAAAAAAAAAACGTTCCTGACTGTCTATCCTGACTTCACTGGACCTCCTGATTCAAACTCCTGGAGGAAGGAAGAGGAGGACAAAAATGGGTTTTGGGTAAAACGAGGAAGAAAAAGACAAAAAAAAAAAAAAAAAAAAAATGGTTGACAGCAACAGACTTCATGTCAGATTTAAAATCCCTCCTTACATGAAAGAGACGAGTACAGAGACACAGGAGGGGAATGGGTCGCATGATTACACGAGGAGGAAGAAAGGAAAACAACTGGGAGGAGAAGAGGGTAAGGGGGCAAGGGGGGGCGGGGTCAGAGGAAGAGGACTTTGGATGAGAGGAAACAGGAGTCCATCTCGTCGCCTCACAGTCCCGTGTCGTTGTACGTTGGTGTGACCACCTTCAGGATGCTCTGAGCGTTCTCCTCCACCAGAGGGCGCCACTTCACCTCGCCAGTCAGCAGCAGGTCCTCGCCGTCCAGAGCGTCGATGTACTGCATCTGAGCAGAGCGAACACTTCTGTTATTTATTGTTTTGAACCTTGTTGAACATTGTTTCATCACAATCCGGCTTCTTTAAACCATTTAGTCCGTTTCAGGATCTGGTTTAAACATCATGCATCCCTTTAAATATCCCGGAGAGCCCTGAAGGCAACATGTTGAGTTCAAGAGGTTAAAATAAAAGAGGCACAGCAACAGGTGAGGTGAGCATCAATCTGTCAGGAATCTGCAGCTCTGTCACTTATTATTCTGCGACTTCAGAGTCTGTAAACACCAGAGACTGTTCTGATATTAAACTTTTAAGATCGTACCAGTCGACTCGTCTGAAGCAGTTCTCACACACACACACACACACACACACACACACACACACACACACACACACACACACCACACACACACACACACACACACACACACACACACACACACACACACACACACACACACACACACACACACACACACACACACACACACACACACACACACACACACCTTATTAAGTTGGACACTGCTTCCATGACCTTTAACACACCTGTGCGTATGCGTGTGTGTTTTCCTGCATCTTGGCTCATAGCAGTGAGTAAAGCACAAACAGACAATGCAGCAGAGTAAACATGTTAAGATAAGTCACACATTAAAAGTTAAAGTCTGCAGTTTGATGTAAACAGAGTCGATGAAGGACGCGGCTGCAGAGAGCGGATGAAAGGAGGGTGAGGTTTAAGGAGAGAGGAGGTCCGGGACCACATGGCCCCGGCAGCAGATGGAGGCCTGAAGGTGTTTCTGAAAGCAGCGGAGTGTTTTCAATCTCGCAGAGGGAAAGAAAATATACAGCGAGGAGAGAGAGAGAGAGAGGAGGAGGTGAGGAGAGAGAGAGGTGAGGAGAGAGAGAGAGAGGAGGTGAGGAGAGAGGGGAGGAGGTGAGGAGAGAGAGAGGAGGTGGTGAGGAGAGAGTGGAGGAGGTGAGGAGAAAGAGGAGGAGGTGAGGAAAGAGTGGGAGGTGAGGAGAGAGAGGAGGAGGTGAGGAGAGAGAGAGGAGTGGTGAGGAGAGAGTGGAGGAGGTGAGAGAGAGAGAGGAGGTGGTGAGGAGAGAGTGGAGGAGGTGAGGAGAAAGAGGAGGAGGTGAGGAGAGAGAGAGGAGGTGGTGAGGAAGAGTGGAGGTGAGGAGAAAGAGGGGAGGTGAGGAAAGAGTAGGAGGTGAGAGAGGAGGGAGGAGGTGAGGAGAGAGAGGAGGTGAGGAGAGAGAGAGGAGGTGGTGAGGAGAGAGTGGAGGAGGTGAGGAGAAAGAGAGGAGGTGAGGAGAGAAGAGAGGAGGTGGTGAGGAAGAGAGAGGAGGTGTGAGGAGAGAGAGAGGAGGTGGTGAGGATAGAGTGGAGGAGGTGAGGAAAGAGTGGAGGAGGTGAGGAAAGAGTGGAGGAGGTGAGGAGAGAGAGAGGTGAGGAGAGAGAGAGGAGAGTGGTGAGGAGAGAGAGGTGAGGAGAGAGAGAGGAGGTGAGAGAAGGAGAGGAGAAGAGGAGGAGATGAGAGAGAGAGAGGTGGTGAGGAGAGAGTGGAGGATGAGGAGGTGTGAGAGAGAGAGGAGGTGAGAGAGAAGAGAGAGAGAGGTGAGGAGAGAGAGAGAGAGAGAGGAGAGGAGATGAGGAGAGAGAGGAAAGTGAGGAGAGAGAGGAGGAGTGAGGAGAGAGGGTGAGAGAGAGAGAGAGGTGGTAGGAGAGAGAGAGGAGGTGAGAGAGAGTGAGGAGGTAAGGAGAAAGAGGAGGAGGTGAAGAGAGAGAGAGGAGGTGAGAAGAGAGAGAGAGGAGGTGGTGAGCGAGAGTGGAGGAGGTGAGAGAAGAGTGGAGAAGTGAGGAGAGAGAGGAGGAGGTAGAGGAGTGGAGGTGAAGAGAGAGAGAGGAGGTGGTGAGAGAGAGTGGAGGTGAAGAGAGAGAGAGAGGAGGTATGAGAGAGAGAGGAGAGTGAGGAGAGAGTGGAGGAGGTGAAGAGAGAGAGGAGGTGGTGAGAAGAAGAGAGAGGTGGTGAGGAGAGAGTGGAGGAGGTGAAGAGAGAGAGGAGAGGTGAGGAGGAAGAGAGAAGAGGAGGTGTAGGAGAGAGTGGAGAGTGAAGAGAGAGAGAGAGTGAGGAGAGAGAGAGAGAGGGTTGAGGAGAGAGTGGAGGAGGTGAAGAGAGAGAGGAGGAGTGGTGAGGAGAGAGAGAAAGAGGTGGTGAGGAGAGAGTGGAGGAGGTGAGGAAGAGGAGTGAGAGATGGAGGAGTGAGAGAGAGAGAGGAGGTGAGGAGAGAGAGGAGGGTGAGGAGAGAGTGGAAGAGGTAGGAGAGAGGAGGAGTGAAGAGAGAGAGGAGGTGGTGAGGAGAGAGAGAGGAGTGTGAGAGAGAGTGGGAGGAGAGAGAGGAGTGGTAAGAGTGGAGGAGGTGAGGAGAAGAGAGGAGGTGAGGAGAGAGTGGAGGAGGTGAGGAGAGAGGAGGAGGTGAAGAGAGAGAGGAGGAGGTGGTGAGGAGAGAGAGAGAGAGGAGGTGGTGAGGAGAGAGTGGAGGAGGTGAGGAGAGAGTGGAGGAGGTGGAGAGAGAGGAGGAGGTGAGGAGAGAGAGGAGGATGAGGAGAGGAGGAGGTGAGGAGAGACTGGAGGAGGTGAGGAAGAGAGGAGGAGGTGAGGAGAGAGAGGAGGTGAGGAGTGTCGGGTTAGAGCAGAGTACTGACGGCCGTTTGGTCTAATGTTGACCAGGACTGGGTTTTAGCTGCTATGGACCCCCGCCAAAAAGTTGCACTTGAACACACCGCAAAGACTACACCGACGGCCAACCACCACGTGCGTTCTGCACATGCGTGAGATTAAAGAACTCTCCACGCCCGTACGCGTGGAAGCAACACCGGGTCTGTCCACTAGTTCATCCATAGCAGATGGCACATGGTAAAACCAAATATATTTCTGTCTGCGTCAGGGAAACCATGGAGCTTCAGCATCCACTGCATAATGTTGACCTCCTGCTGCCACGTCTGTACGCCTCCATCAGGCTCCAGATGTACGAAGCAGTGAAGCAGAGGAAGTCAAAGGCAGATAGCATCCTCTGTGTTATTATTAAATAAGCATTAAAGGCTTTATATGTGATTTTTTGATCCAGCAGATGTCGCCCTTGAGCACCAGCATGAAACCAAAACAACTGGCGCTGCATTGTTGTGTTAGCATGCTAATGCTAGCGATCTTTATTCTGCTGTATCTTCACACTGCATGTAAATTTACCTGAAATGAGCGTGATCTAGAAACACAGTTAAGCAGTGAGTACAGTATGTTATTCTTCTTTTCTCTAGTCCCTCAATTAAACAACTTTTATACACGAGGGGAGGAGTCAGCCGGCCGTCCTGGCGATGTAAACAAAGTGAAGATAGGACTCTGAAAGCATCACAGACAGTGGGACTCGGGTGTTACACCCATTGTAGACAGTCATGACTCACAGAGTTATTTTCAGAGGATATACTTGATTTCTATTATATTTAAGTGTGAAAAATCACAGATGAAGACTTTAAGGAGGAACTAGCCCACAGAACTATTTTCCTCTTTTTGAGGAACTACGTGCATTTTCACCAGATCTACCAGGGTAGAAATGTAGTTCTGAAAAAGTTTGAAAAAGACCCTGCTAGGGGACATGTACTTTCCAAAGGTCCAGGGACTTTTGACAATAGGGCATACAGCCCCTGCAGAGCTGAATGTACTCTGATTGGTCAGGCACAGCAGGGTGTTAGATCACCCACTGTGTTTAAAAGACTGCAACTGTAAACCCATTGTTTTTACCCTACCTTTATTCAGGGGTGCAAACTCATCAGGGATGAAAAAGGTGAAATGGATCCAAACTCCCTAGGGGGGTCCGGGGCATTAAATATGAAACATTATCAACATATGAACCTGATGTTTAGCTCCTGCTGGTTTTCATTAAGTTTATATTCCCTCTCTTATTACATGTGTTGATCAGCTGTCACTTTAATGTTTCCTGAGATAATAATGAAGCAGAAAGCTGAATGAAGTTACCTTCAAGCACATTTCTCTCATCATCTTTACCTCTGTCTACCAAACAGTAAACATGATCAGACAGCATGTTTAACAGAAAGGCTGGCTTGCTAACCAGACTTTAAATCTTTCCAGTGTTTTCACAGAAAAATATGTGATGTAAATGAGCCATGTGCTGCACATTGACTCATTGAATCAGGTTTCATGCTTCTTGCGGTCGGTGCGGCGATATTGCGCAATCGCGGTCGGCGCGAGAATGGTCCGCGGCTGGAGGTCTGAGCTCCCAGCTGCGCACCTCTGTCATTTTTGTAACAATGCGTACGGGTTTGCGCCGACCGCGTTGCAATGATTGGCTGCAGGGCCCGGAAGTACTTTCTTCAGGCCGTGTTGAGCAATCAGACCGCTCTGACCGATATCAGGAAAGGGGTGACAAGTTTGCACCCCTGTTTACTTATCATCAAAGTTTGACTGTTACATTTATAAAAAGGTGCAAAACACACTTTTCAGACTAAGCATGACTGAAAGAACAAATGAACTAAAAATTAAAAATAGAAAAGCAAACAACAGAAGAATAAGAAGAGTCAGAGGTTTAATCTAGGTTTAAAACCTTTATAGTGTTTTCTCTTAAACTTGTTAAGTTTTATTTTGAGTGTATTTGAAGTTATTCAGTCATTTATGAAGATAAAACTTGGCTTGACTTCTACAGAAAGAATCTAAAGTTATGTTTGTATTATTTGACCAAAATAATGAGGGAATCAGTTTTTCAAAATGCTGTCGAAATCAATATACCTTTCTCCAAATATTAACTTTAAGACATTCACTACAGGGGTTAATATAATTAATCTTCCAAAAAGGTGTTTCTTAAGGAGTTTGTTGAAATGAGGGGAGTTAGGTATCTGTTAAGTCCTCTTTTCACTTGTAACGACACACAGCACTCGTCTCCTTCCTTTGTTGATCAATGAAACCGTTTGCAAAGCGATACAGCCTGATTTGCATAAACTTTCCTCTCGTGGAAACGCAGACCACAGGAACCTTTTAGTTCCTTGAAGAGAAGTTCCTGAACCATTTAGTTCTGGGTATCTGGTGGAAACAGGCTTTAGACTTCACACATCAGAGTGAGTAAACAGACAACAATCCCACCTGTTTGCGTACGTATTCCACCATGAGCTCCAGCTGTTTGGGGTCTTCACAATCTCTGTTGAACAGGTTTCTCCACAGAGCTGCTGCCAGCACACAGTCATCAGACAGGATTCCCTGAAACACAAAACACACACAGATTGTTTCTCTATCACTACATGACACAGATTGTGATGAAATAGTTAAATCACTTCAATGTCTACAGGAAACAGAATAATTTGGTTAATAGTTTTTAAGGATTAGTTTGTATGTGTCCCGCTCCAACCAGCAGCTTTTATCCAGCAGTGTTTCCTAAAGAGCTTTTCTCACTCTACAGAGCGAGAAGTTGAAGACTGACAGTTTGATACGGTATCCTAAGAACATTTAATCAGATAGAGACATATGTCGAGTTGTTTCTGGAGTCCAGATCTGAAAAGTTATTTCAAAGAATGTATTTCATAGTCGTCCCCCAACATTCAGGAGGTCAGTGACCCTCTTTGCTTCCTGTGTGCGAGTCGAAGTATCTCTCACCTCATCGTATCCAAATATCGCTGCGTAGAACGTCTCCGTCATCACTTAGTCGCTTCCTTTCTGTGCATGCGTCGATCTAAGAAGCAGATGGGGACAGAACAATCAAAGTGAAGCACAGCAGAGGCAAACGTTAAGAGCGGCGTGGCTTAGCGACACCAAGAACAACATCAGGTCGTTTTCAGGGAGTATTGTGCACGTGTGAAATCAGCAGGAGTCTTTTTAACCACTTCATTCAGTCCTTTCATGCCCCAAACAAAGCTGTGAAAAATAAAACAACCGAAAGACAATCCAGTGAACCTCCTGTGAGCTGCAGGGCAGCGGTGAGAAAAAGGAAAAACTGAGTTTGTTTTAGACTTTTGGTTGCAGCGGTAATTATGAAGACGGAGAAAATGACCACTGTTTTCACTGCTCCTTAACCACAATTAGCATGAAACCTAAGAGCGGGTCTAATCAACGGTCCCGCTTGTGTGTGCGTGTGTGTGTGAGCCTAAATCCAAAACCTGGTGTGCTCAAACTCTGCTGGGTTCTTCAGACTGATCACATTGTGTTGCAGTTCAAACTTTGTCAGCATGCTTCAACAACTCAGAAAACGTTACGACACCAACGTTTTGTTTTCATCCTTTCAGTGTCAAACATCGGAGTGTAAAGCCCTCGACGTCCATCAACTCTTATTAAACACTGCAAACCTCGACTGTTTTTAAAAAGGTCAGTGTTCATCCGTCTGCTGACTCACTCGTCCTTTAAGAAAGGTCAAGACTTCAGCTCTCTCTCATTATTATTTCTCCTCTCTCTCGTTTGTTCCGTTTCTTTTTCTCCCAAAATGTTTTTCCTCTCTGCTAGAATCCAGTTTGTGGTGCAATATAAGTAAATCCAGGTAACTTTCTCACCGTTTGGAAAGGGAACATCTTTACCCCTAACTCCAAGACAAATTTCCCTATACAGACGATACAGTTTATCCTCATCCTGATCTTACCATGGGTCATTTCTTGTTTAAAAAAAAAAGCACAAGCAAACTTCTACTCCCAAACTGAAATTGTTACAAAAACATTGCCAATGTTTTTCATGCATTTCAGACGGCGTTCTCCCTCCTTCCCTTGTGGCAGCTTTTGGTTAAAGGCTTTATATGCAGACATCAAGTATCTCCTCTGAAAATAACTCTGTGAGTCATGACTGTCTACAATGGGTGTAACACCCGAGTCCCACTGTCTGTGATTTTCAGAGTTTCAGAGTCCTATCTTCAGTTTGTTTACGTCGCCAGGACGGCCGGCTGACTCCCCTCGTGTATAAAAGTTGTTTAATTGACTAGAGAAAAGAAGAATAACATACTGTACTCACTGCTTAACTGTGTTTCTAGATCACGCTCATTTCAGGTAAATTTACATGCAGTGTGAAGATACCAGCATGATAAAGATCGCTAGCATTAGCATGCTAACACAACAATGCAGCATGAGTTGTTTTGGTTTCATGCTGGTGCTCAAGGGCGACATCTACTGGATCAAAAAATCACATATGAAGCCTTTAAAATATGACTAAAGATGGGTCGCCCGTGGACTAGTGGTTAGTTCGGACGCCCCATGTCCAGATGCTGTTGTCCTTGAAGCGGGCGGACTGGGTTCAAATCCGGCCTGTGGCTCCTTTCCAGCATATCACTTCCCACTCTGATTTTTGACTCTATCCACCGTCCTGTCTCTACAATAGCGACACAAAAATGCCCAACAACAGATCTTAAAATAAAAAAGTATT